AAATAAATAAATAAATAAAACTGAACCGCTGATCTGAAGAAAGCTATAATCATTTAGTGACTTAAAATACCAACAAAACTAATTCGGACAGCTTGCGATTCCTTTTTGGAGCCTCTAAAGGATATAGTCAAAGCAAAAGCAGACCAATAAAATTATTTAGATTTTTTGACCAATAATATAGCATAAACTCTAATATGCAGAAAATTCCATAAATCCGCTAGAATTTCGACTGGGCAGTCATCAAATCTAAAAATCGAACTCACCTAGCATAAACCAACAAAATTGCAATAGCTAACATTATACACGACCAAGTCTTATTATATTATTCAGTTTATGTTGAATACATGCGTGGCTTAACTTATTTATAGCAATATTTTGTTAAAGAGTTAAAGTGGGTAAAATTCTCGGCTCTGCCATTGTGCGACGGAGTCGAAAAATAATTTTCACAGCAAAGAGAAGAGGAAGACAGGGCAGAGCTGGGCACGGCAAGGGGCGGGAGTCCCCAGCCATTTTCATAACTTTGACAAGGTAACATACAGAGTGGAAAGACTGCTAATAAAGTTACATGCAGACRCACACACACAGACACAGAAGCAGAGTGAGAGAGACTGCGAGCGAGAGAGGAAGGGAGAGAAGGAAGCACTTAAATTGTGTGTAACTCGCGTTTTGTTATGAGCCAGCAAAGCACGCTCCAACTCCACACAAGAATACACACACACACACACAAACCCCCATCCACACACACACACGCATATCCACACTCATACACACACACAGCTCCACTCACTTGCTTGCCCAAGAGAGTTGTTAACGTTTTTTCGTCGCTGTGTTTACTCTTTTTCATCTTGGCGCCATGACTCTAATGACAGGACCCCTGTTGCCATCAGGCGGGGTGGGCAGGGCAGGCAGGTAGGCAGCGATAAGCGACAATAAACATAAAAAATAAAAGTCAAGCCAGCTAACACCGCCCCAGCTCACCTGTCTGCTAGCTCGGCGAAAAATTTTTAACAACCACACGAGATTTTTGTCGAGCTTTTTTACGGCTCTCATGGATTTTCGCCGGATTTTCAACGCATCAAATTGTGCAATTGTTGTTGTTGTCGTCGTTCGCGCTCATACGTAGCCAAAATGACGACTCACAGATGCGAGCGAAGCTGGAGCAACTCGCCGCCCGCTCCTTGGGGTACGCAAATTAGTTCGCAGCGCAAATCCATTAATTGAATTATAATTTACAAGCGCAATTCCGGCGTCGGTGGCGACGCGTCCTCGTGGTGGCAATGTGGAGCCAGTAAACAATAAAGATGTCATATACACCAGCCTGTAGAGGGGTGGGGCGGGGATTGGTGGCTCTAGCGGGAGTGGGACATGGCGGGCGTGGCGGGCGTGGCGGGCGCATACACGCGCAGTGGCCTTGTTATGCAAACGTTGAATTCGTAACAAAAAATTGCTTTACATATTCGCATACCCTTGATTTTATTCCCTTTCCGTGCTGCTCGTTTCGCATACCCAGTAGGTATTTAGGCAACGAAGAAGGGTGACTCGAATTTCATCTGTAGATTGATTGAGTTTAAAATTTCTATCATATAACAATAGATATAGATTAGTATGATGTCAAAATAATACAGGGTGTCTGGCAGTCAGTCACGCGGAAATTTGCGCTGAACATTTCGCCTTGTTTACCAAGCATCACAAATACAATATATTGTATATATTATTATAAAATGAACACAGCAAAAATTGAATTTCAATTCGTTTATTTTTTTAGTGTGTCGTTTTCTTTTTTTTTTTTATTTTTTTTTTATTTATAAATTTAATTTTTTGCGTTGGATTTCGTTGAAAAAATATGAAAAATTGTTAGCCGCATATTTGGAAGAGAAAATATTTTTTAAATGCAATTGATTGTGCTTTTAACGAGCATATTGTAAAAGAGTTTGATTTAATTAAGCATAGCAAAGATGTAAGCAAATATTTTGTGAGAAGCCAGAAGTAGGATGATACCCCAAAAACACAGCGGGAAAAAATTGAGTTTTCATTTATTTACATTTAATTAAAATTATATATATGTATTAATGAAAATATATTATAGGAACAATAAGAATGCAAAAATGAGTTATGCATGCAAATTATTTAAGAAATTTTCAATTAATTTTCGTACATTGTTTATTAAAACGAACACAATGTAATTAAGACACTCGAGTCTACTCGACTTATCGATACTCTAGCATCAGCCAAGCTGCTTACTTAAAAAAATAAAGATGGAGTAAGTATAGATAGATATAGATTGTAGTAGTAGGAAATATCGAGTCTGTATTCATTGGTAAATAAAAATTTGTGTTCACTAAGCCCTAAGCTCATTTCATCTCAAACATCTCCAGTTCTAATATAGAACTTCATGCGACCCATCTGACAACCCTATATATATCTTTTGACAGAGACGGGCACAATACATCGTACCGACTCAAGGCCTTTTATAAAGAAATCTACTTGAAGCAAAAAAAAAATAATAA